ATTATCTCTCCTGGATCTATTTTCCAGGTCAGTTGTTTTTCCAATGAGATATTTCACAGTCTTCTATTTTTTTTTTCTTTTGGTTTTATTTTACAATGTCTTGATTTCTCATAAAGTCACTAGCTTCCATTTGCTCCACTCTAACTTTTAAGGACGTATTTTCTTCACTGAGCTTTTGGACTTCCTTTTCCATCTGGCTAATTCTGCTTTTTTAATGCATTTTTCTCCTCATTGGCTTTTTGAACCTCTTTTGACATTTGGGTTAGGCTATATTTAAGGTGTTATTTTCTTCAATATTTTTTTGGGTCTCCTTTAGCAAGCTGTTGACTTGTTTTTCATGATTTTCTTGCATCACTGTCATTTCTCTTCCCAGTTTTTCCTCTACTTCTCAAAATTCTTTTTGAGCTCTTCCATGGCCTGGGACTGATTCATATTTTTCTTGGAGGCTTTGGATGTAGGAGCTTTGACTTTGTTGTCTTCTTCTGGTTGTATGTTTTGATCTTTTTTGTCACCAAAGGGAGATTCCATGGTCTGACTTTTTTTTTACATAGTTTGTTTATGTTCCCAGCCAATTCCTTGAGTTTTAAACTCTTTGTTAAGGTAGACATCTTCTTCCAGTGTGGAGACTGTATTGTCCTAAGCTTTGTGCAGCTGTTATCAGAGATACTTCTAGGGATCTATAAATTTTCAGTTCTTCCAGGATGGTATGATCAAGGGCGAGGTGTTTATTCCTTTCCTGGCCTGTGTTCTGGTCTATGAGTGACTGTAAGCACTCTTTTCTGCTTTGGAACTGTGAGGAGGATTCTCACTACACCGCCACCTCAAGCTCCACCATACCAGCACTCCTCCTCACCCCAGGACTGCCATCCAGAACTGTGACCCAGATCCAAGCACAGGCAAAGCAAAAGAATCCTGCCTCAGCATGAGCATAGAGATCCCTCCAGTTTCCCTCTGATTAGCCACTGGATTCCCCCTCTGTCTGTGGGCAGGAAGCTCTGGAAGCAGCTGCTGCCCCAGGGGCTGTGCCTGGACTGGTTTGGAACTGAACTTCTTTCTCACCATGGTCACAGACTTTTCCTACTGATCTTCTAAGTTGTCTTTGGCATTTGTGGGTTGAGAAATCTGGAAACTGTCACAGCTGCCCGTGATTCAGTCCTCTGAAGTCTGCTCTAGATTTGCTGAAGCTTGGTCCTTGCCTGTGCGCCCATACTAAACTGCGTTCCTCTCCCAGCTTAGTGCAATAGACCTTTCCAATCAACCATCCAGGTTGTCTTGGGCTGGAAATTTCTTTCACTCTGTCTTTTTGTGGATTCTACTGCTCTAGAATTTGTTTAGAGCCATTTTTTATAGGTATTTGGAAGGCTTGGGGGAGACATCAAACAAGTCACTGCTTTCACCCCACCACTTTGGCTCTGCCTCCACAGCTGGATTTTTGTACTGTATATATTGAAGAAAGAACAAAGTGTAAATGTCCCTCAGAACAATAAATTAAAATAGTGGTAGATAAATTAACATGATGCCATTTCATTCAACATCCTTTATGATATTTTATTAAATACTTTTCCTTAGTAAAAAATTTTAGTATTTCTAATTGGAACAACATAATAGATCTTCAGCCATTTAGCATAACACAAAAGGACTTTTGAAATTGCTACAGATTCAACAAATACTTACTAGGTGCCTCCTCTGTGCAAGGCATTGTGTTGGATGATAGGGATATAAAAATTTTACATATCGTCATTCACCTTGAGAAGGTGACGATCTAATAAGGGTATAAAACAGGTGAATAAATGGGTAATCCAATCATGACAAAGTAGAGATCTAGGTAAAATTTATGAGAAAATCTCAAAAGGCAAAAATGACCAACTTAAGTGTTGGGACAGTGGAAATAAATCAAGCAAATCTTCCTGGAAGAGTTGGTACCAGAGTTGGGCTTTAGGATGTTGAAGGAGTGTCCTAGACAGATCCATGGAGGTGGATCAGTGTTCAAAAACACTGGAGAACAAGTAGTAATTAATCCACTTTTGGATGACTGTGTGAAAATCAGTAGTGTGAAATAAGGCTAGAAAGTTAGATTGGAGCCAGCTACTGGAAAGATTTAAATGTTAGGCTAAGGAATGGGTATTTTATCCTAGAAGCAGTTTGGAAGCATTGAAAGCTTTTGAGTAAGGGAGTGACATAGTCAGAAGTGTGCCTTAATATGACAATTCTAAGCATATCTGTAAAAGATTAGTTAGGGGAAAGACTGGAAGCAGACAAGTTATTACCATTGTCTGGATGATTATTTGAATTAGGCTGGTAGCAGTGTGAGTTGTTAACATAAGATAGATGTGAGATGTATTGTATCAAACAAATTTGACAGTCGATTAACTATGGAGAGTAAAGGAGAGAGAAAGGAAAGAAAACTTAGAGAAGACTAAGATTAAAAAGTTGAGTGACAGGAAGAAAGGTGATGCTATTAACAGAAATAGGGAAAATGGGTGGGAGTAGGAGAAAGTTTAAGGGAGAAAATAATGTGGTCGGGTTTGGATGGGTTAAGTTTGAGATTCTCAGGAGAGAGGGGCACCCAGGTGGAGAGGTTTAGTAGGAAGTTAGAAATATTCAGGACTGGAGTTAAGTGGAGAGAGTGGGGATAATGATATAGTAGAAAGAGCACTGGACTCAAAGTTAGAAAGACATGGCTTTTAATTTTAACTTTTAGTTAAACACATTATAATTGCTAGTTGTATGGCCATGAGTAAGGCACTATACCTCTCTAAGTCTCAGTTTCTTTATTTGTAAAATGGCTATAACAATACTTGTAGTATCTAATTCAGGATTATTGTATCAAATTATATATTGGTAATGGCAGTATGGAACTGGTAATGGAAGCTGTCCATCATTTCAGTCAAGTATGCTACCTGGACACTTGAGCCTTTTGAGGATAAGATGCCTCCTCAAGTGACTAAGAACTCATGGGCCTTTGAGATGACAAAGCTTCCCTTTATTGGCTTTATTCTCTTTATTGATTAGGACCTTCAGTGGATCTTCAAAAAAGGAGTGACTTCATGAGTTTGGTTTTAGACATGTTGAATTTGAGATGCTCAAATTCATTCAAGTATAAATGTTCAGTAGGCTCCTGGTAATGCTAAGACTGGATCCCAGGTGATAGATAAGGGTAGATTTGGAAATCATCTGCATAGAGACAATGATTGAACTCAAGGGAGCTGATGAAATCTCCAATAAAGATTATATAAAGAAAGAAAATTTAAAGCTTAGGGAAGGATTCAGGTGTATGACCATGCATAGTTATAACTGGATCACAGGTTTTGAATTCAAAGTGACCTTATAGGTGATCTCTCTTTTTATAAATGAGGCTCAGATACATTAAGTGGCATGTCCAAAGTTACACAGGTAGTAAATGGAAACACCAGGATTCAAACCCAGATAGACAGGCTCCAAATCCATGACTCTTTCTGTTGAACCACACTGCTTCTTAGGGGGTGGAACATGGATGATGATTCTAGAAAGGCAACTGAGAAGGATTGATCAGACAGATGTGAAAAGAATCATGACAGAACAATATCTTCAAAAGCAAGGGAGGAAAGAATATCCAGAAATGAAGAAGGAGGAGTTGACTATCAACTGCTACAGAGAGGTCAGAATAGCTCACATTTATGTGGCACCTTATTGTTATAAAGTGCTTTCCTCACAATATCCATAGGAAGCAAGGTTCTGCCAATGTCATTATTCCCATTTTACTAATGAGTAAATTGAGGCTTAGAGGAATGAATCAACTTAGGATCGTAAAGCTAATGAATGGTGGAATTAGAACACAAACTCATAGCTCTGGCTATGTCCAGTGCTCCTTCCAATGTATATGCTTCCATTTTTACCCCTTGAGTTGAATATACCATGTCATATTAGGCTATTTGCATCCTATGTTTGTCTGGATGTGTAACAATATGGATATTTCTGGCTGTTCTGATAGACCCACGGGGTATCCTGGAGTTTAATTTATAAAGTCTCATCCAAGCTGCCAGTATGACTGTTGCCTTCATCCATGCATTTTTTTTGTTGTTGTTGCCAAAAATAATGACAATCTCTCATTGTATACTGCTGCATCAACATTAGAACCTTTTATTTATTTTATGAACCATGGCATCTTTCACCTTTCATCATGAGGTGGGAAATTTAAAGCCTAATAGAATAGAAAACATTGTAATTTCATAGAGGAAGTCCTTTGTAGTTACTTTCTGCAGTAGCAAGTAAAAAGGACATTACAGGTAGCAAAACATGAATAGTTAAGGAATAAATTTAATTAGCTCCATTTCCTGACTACAGTATTGCAAATTCTTGGTTACAGAACTATAGTGAGGCACATACTACGGGCAATATATGTCAGAAATCATTTAAGGACATTATAAGCAATGAGTTGGTCTTCCTTTCTTTGGCCACAAGAGGAAAAGGCCTCACTATTCTCATCCAAATTAGTCTGCTTTTTGTTGAAAAGTGTCAAAAAACAACACTACAAAATGTAGACTCATATAAAAAAACGCAGAGCATATTGCTATCTTTCCTTGTGCCAGTGAAGGATTGTTTCTCACAGCTTAGAATGCTTTTTTTCTTAAAAGTGTACTCATTACAATGCCAGATCTCCAGCAATACTTTTGAAATTGTGGCTCAGAGGGGGAAATTTTTTCGCTTGAATACTATATTGTTTTCAGCTGATTTTTCACATAGATATTGAATTGTATATGAATGGAGAAAGGCCAAACTGGTATGTAAACATGAAACAAAACTCCATAAACTTTGAAGCTGAGCCTTTTTTAAAGGGTCTCTTGACCTAATATATTCTCTCATCTCCATTAGGGCAACAGTGCTATCACTAATGGACATAGTAAAGAATGATTATTGAACAAGTAGTAAATGTTACGTTGAAAGATACTTAGCATTTTATAATAGGCGTATAATTAAATGTTTTGATGATTGGTGTTTATTGATTTTTGTTTTTATTTCAGTGACTATTTCTACAAGTACCTTCTTTGATGGCTTACTGGTTACAGGACTCTATACATCTACTAGTGTCCAAGCTTCACAAAGCATTGGAGGTGCTAATGCTTTTGGATTTGGTAAGTCTAATGTGATCTGAGAAACCTGCCAATATGTATGTTTTCTCGAGTTGGTTATCATTGCTTTAAAAATCTATTTAAGGACTATTCCACATTCTTCTCCATTTAGTATTATAATCTGACTTATTTTTTTTTATTTTAAGAGGCACAGAAAGAGTATAGGGGGTGGGGGGTTAGGATAGGAGAATGAAAGCAATTGTTGTAAGCATGTAATGCCCGGCATGACATCTTATCTAATAATATCTGTTCAATGGAGCTATCATACTTTGTTCTAGGACCTGCATGCAGATATTTCATATTCTATTAATTAGATTGCTGAAATTCATCTTGATTTTCATGCATCAGTCAGGAACCAATCTTATAAACATTTAAAAATATCAAATACTTGATATGTGAAAACTGGCCCTTTAAATTTCACCTGGACGAATAGGTAAAGTCCATTAAACAACTGGGTGATCACTTAACCAACCTGTGCAAAATGGGCCCCTGATTCTGGCATGGCAGAATTTCTTTTTGAAAAGCACACCTTGGAGACAGTGAAAACAAGAGCTAAGCCATAGCTGGCTTCCCCACTTCCACACCTGGGAACTATGGGTGTAACGCCTACTGTCTTTTGGTGTATGCATATTTTGGTTATCTGACTTTTTCATAATCTGTACCAAAAAACTATCCCATTTACATCCCAGTGAAGTGACTTGGTATTGACTGGGAGGGGGGGAGGTGCAAAATAGTCATTTTGCAAAATTCAGTAAATTATTTCATTCACTTGATATTTTTATAGATTTAACTTCATATTGAAAATATAACTAAAAAGTCATTAATTTTAAATCATAGGGAAAGCTAATCTAAGTGAAGTTACAAAGCCATCACATTAGACTAGTAAGCAGTCACTAATTACAAAGGCAGCAAGATGCAAAAATCTCTTCATTCCGTATTCTATATTAAGTATTCCAAACCCAATATATTTTAATATACAGTAGAAAGAACAAAAGTAAATTAATATCTCCATAAAATATTAATACATTTTCCATGGTGAGGAAAATGGGGTTGCTTTATTATATAGCTTGTGATCATTTACATTTAGGTAGTACATTAATAGGCCTTATAATTTCATACTTTAGAAGCAGTTAGGTAGAGCAGTTGATAGACTCATCTTCCTGAGTTTAAATCTGGCATTAGACATTGACTATGTGATCCTGGGCAAATCACTTAACCCTGTTTGCCTCAGTTTCCTCATCTGTAAAATGAGCTGGAGAAGGAAATGATAAACAACTCCAGTAACTTTGCCAAGAAAACCCCAAACGGGCTCCCAAAGAGTTGGACGTGACTGAAAATGACTGAATAACAACAAAGTAGTACAGTGCAGAGTGCTGGACTTGGAGTTAGGAAGACGTGAATTCAAATCCAGTCTCACACATTTACTAGTTGTGTGACCCTGGGCGAGTCCTTTACTGGTTGCCTGCCTCCATTTCTATATCTGTAAAAGGGTGATAATAATAGTACCCACCTAAGGTGGTTGCGAGGATAAAATGATATAATATTTGTAAAGCACTTTACAAACCTTAAAGTGGTATTAAGGAATCTATGATCTAATTATAGATGATATACTTGTCTTTTCATCCTGTACGATTCTTGTCCATGTTTCCTCATAAACCCATCAGAGGGGAATCTACTCGATATGCTTTCTTTTAGAGCATTTTCAAGGTTGCTAGTGAATCATTTGGGTTATGTATCCATCTGACCTTTTGTGTCATGATTCACCTTTCTCTTTTTTTTAGTTTCATATTTCCTTGATATTAGTGACCCATTTATATGCCTTATGTCATTATTGTTGTTTTTCTATGTGTTAATTGTTGGCAGAATTGCCTTTTAGAAAAAAGAATCAAGTTTTATCAATGTGATTTTTATGTGGTGAAGCTTTTTGTTTGGATTCACGTTGTTACTGCCAGGCAACATGGCAAAATGGGATGGCAAGGGCAAGGATGTTAAGATTCAGGAACCCATTGGAGCAGGCAAGAGTTAAAACCAGTTTCAGTGAGCTTAAGTCAGGTTTTTCACAAATGTCAAGGGCAAAGATATTTTCAAAAGCCAAGCAGAATGACAAACCCAGGAGAACATAAATACTAAAGGAATAAACAAGTGAATGGTCAACAGTTAAGGCAAATAGTCAAGAATCAGGAGACCTGAAGAATCTGAACATGAAGGGCATGACAAGTAAGGTAAAGTAAGCGAGGAGTCAGAAATTAAAACCATCTGAATAACTGAGGAAACTCTAACTTATTAATGGGCTTATTTTATATGTTTTCTGTAAAGGGAAAAAAACAATTCCTAAGTGAAATTAACATGGTACTTGCCTCAGTGCTGAGAAGCTAAAGATTTTTAAAAAGTTTTGGTATTTACCTGTCCATCTATTGAATCTGAAATGAATAACAACTCATATTTGCATAGTTTTACAGTTTGCAAAGTTATTTGCTCATAACAATCATGAAAGTTATTTACTACATATATTATTTTTCTCATTTCCCCCCAAATACCTCATTGGATATTTGCTTACTTTTGTTCATACATACATTGTAAAGAATCTTGGTTTGTCATAAAAGGATGGCATTAGTTTTATTTGTGTAATAGTAGCCTAAGAATAATCACACTTCTTAATTTGAGGCTCAGAGACCTTAAGTGATTTGCCCATGACCACATAGTAAATGTCATAGACAGGACTGGAATATGAATATGGATAGTTCAGTGCTCTTTCTCCCATAGGAGGCTACTCCTGGTAAAGAAAAAGAAACATTAAGGATTATTCAAAACCAACTATGTTTCTGGATCAACATTTTTGTAGAGTACTGATAGTTATATGAATGACAAATTATCTCTGACTTCAGCTTAAAAACCCCCACAAAGAATAAATCCATTAATTAAAATCATTTCAATCAAGCAAACATTAAGAACCTACTATGTGCAGAGCATTGTGATGACATTGTAGTTAGTTTCAGGTAGTCCTTGATAGTGCTTTAGTACTGGCATGGCCCATCTGGGCATCCCCTGCAACCTCTCCCTAACATTTAGTGGATGGATTTCTATTTATAACTTTGTACCTACACCTCTCCTAGGGATGACTTTTTGACAGACATAAAGATTCCTTTATGCCAAGGCCTAATAATATTCTAATACTGCTCTCCTATGCTTTTTACAAGTTAATATATACACGTGACAGAAAAAAGAACACAAAAGAAAAAGGTATAATGTGGCTGAATATTGTCAGAAAGACTTATTTCTTTTTTCTTAAAATATTTTGAAAATTATCAATATATTTTGTTTTCCATCACTTTAATTTTGAAATATAACTTTCCAATTACTAGACAGCCAGCCCCTGGAACAAAGATTAAAAAATAAAAAGAAGAAAAAACCACTTCCACAACACTAAGCGACACATTTACTGAGTCAGTCAGCAAATTCAGTGTCTTACCTTGATAGTCCTCTACCTCTACAAATAAGGAGAAAGGTTTATTTTCTCTTTTATAGAGGAACTAAGCTTGATCACTGGAATAACACACCATTCAGTTAAATTTTTTGCTTTCCATTTACATTTAAAGTCTTTTAAAATAAGAAGCCAAAGTGATATTTTCAATGTGAAATATTTGTATTACTTTTAGAGACAAATTATTTATTTGGGATCAACATTTAATTTAATCTTTATGATCAGCAGTCATCAGAGAGGATTTGTGTGGCTGAGGATGGGAAGAAAAAAGAGGGAGGTACAAAGAAAGAAAAGAGGAGGGGGCTGAAGAGGGACAGAATTTTTGCAAAATAAAGCATATCATCATCTTTAGAATATGTTTGTCGCAATCACCATAACATTGTATAAACTAGGTAATAGTTACTGCATCTTCATGATCTTAAGAGGTTATGGGTAATAAAGATTCTGTCAGGATCATGTGGCATGCCTTGCCTGTTGAAATGAAGATGCCTTGAATATTCAATTTACTGTGAGGCTTTGACTTTGCAATGGAGTGTTAAGCAAACAGAGGGCTCTTGGCATGTTTCCAACATGTCATGTTGGTAAATAGCATATGCTATATTTAATTAGCTCTGATAAATGAGGGCTAAGTAAAGCATTTAATTCCATCTGAATAGGTGATTTTATTTATGAAAGTTTTTGTATGGCCTCTCAATAGTCAGTCTCATTGTATTATTGCCTCAAAGTTGCAGAAACTGCACCATGGCCATAAACTATACAATATGAATAATCAAAATACGAATCGTGATTATCCTTCAGGTTTTATTTTATGAATGTAATTGTGCCAAAATAACACCAGCCTTTTATGAAAAACCAAGATTCTTTAAAATGCATGAATGGCCATGACCATACTCAATGGCCAGAATTAAATGAAAACAATAGATGTGCAAAGGATGACTAGAAGCCAGAAATATAGTGCTTAGAATACTTCATTTTACTTGTCAATGCAAATTTGAAAACATGAAGTCTTAGAGAGGTCTGATGTTTAATTATAGCTTGTCCATTTGTACATTGCAGCATCTACCCTTGCCTTTGAGTGGGAATTTAGTCATGAAGAATCTTCAAGTCTCATTGGAATAGCTGTTTAAATACAATATTGTATAAAACTATATGGATTTTTTTTTGAGGGAGAACTTTATAATGTGAATGAATATGTACTTTAGTTTGAAATATGTAGTACATATTTTAAGTTAAATGCATAATATATATCTCATGCTGAAGATATTATTTTTTTAATTCATAAATTCATAGGTCTAAAGGTTGAAGCAACTTCAGATACCACCTACTCCTCCCTCTCCATATTATAGATTTGGAAACTGAAGCTTGGAGAAGTTCTAGCCTCCCAAGCTGAAGGTGTCTAAGAGAGGATTTGAATCTGGGAGTGCTGACTCCAAGTCTTTAATGTCTCTAGAGGGGAAAATTTACTTTAACTGATGTCTGTGAACATGTTTCTTTACAAAAGTAATCATAAAAGTTTTGAGGA